TATTTGTATAATTTGTATTAATAGCACAGAAAATTTTTACAATTGCTATTTAATCGATTTTTAATCAGCAAATTTAATTTTATATATTTTAGCTGTTATTTCCATAAAAATAAAAGGTATAAACGTAATTAGCTTTAAAATAGAAGGTGGCATATTTATATTTAGCTACTTCAAGAAGCTGCCTATTATTTGATTAATTCAACATATGAAAGCAATTTAAAAAACATTTATTATTACCCATTAAATTTCAATTTAAACTATTTATTCAAATAATTATAGCAATTAATTAATATGATTGCCCAAGTTGCTTAAAACTATCCCGATAATTGGGTGTCAGACTAGCAGCTCCGCTCAAGCCAAATAATCCGCATGGCAGAAGCCTGCATTTAGCACTCGTTGATAAACTGAAAGTGTGACGCGAGCCTGGAGGCTGGGCCAAGTGGAACGCTTCATTAGCATCGCTGAGCATTGCACGGGCAATTTTCCGGCTTTGGGTGGAGTTTTGGACTCAGCCAGCCGAAGGCTGTGTGCAACAGATAAGCGCCTTGGCGAGGCGTGGCGTGGCGTGGCGAGGCGAGAGCAGTTTGCTGAATGGGAAACGAGTTAATAATTAATATCAGCCCCCAAAGCATTCAACAGACAATTTTTTCCTCATCTAGCCTGAGGATGCATTAACCTCAAAAAAAAAAGAAGAGAGAAAGAAACTGTCGACTGTGAATAGTTTGAAAGGATGCGCCTAACCGGGAAGCGGGGCAGCTTTGGCTGGAGCTCTGGTTGCGCGTTGTCATAGGCGTAAATCGGGGCAATGCAAATCGTCGAGCTGTGGTAGCCAGGGCGACGCCACGGCAGAGTCATATTCATGTGGTTAATTAAAATTCAGCAATTGCGAAAGGCTGCACGGATTAGGCACTGTTCCAGGGATTAGCTCGGCCATTTGGGCTGCCCCCAGTGACAAGGGGTCGGTGTATTTATGTCTTGGTAGTGCCATAAACAAACCCAGAACAGATTATATGCATGGATTCCCACAGTTTTGGCATCTGTTGCACATTGCGCTACGTGAGCGCATTTCCGACTTGGATTGGGCCTCGTTTCCGCTCTCTCTCTCTCCCTCTCTCGCACTCTTCGGACTGGTGTCAAAGTGATGACAAGGCTGAACGCCCAGACTCCAAGTGTTTGCCAGGTCGCGTGCAGCGATAAATCTCCCTGCTGCCAGCCCTTCGCTCTCTCTCTCTCTCTCTCTCTTCCTCCTCCTCCTTCCATGTTGTTTTCGTTTTTTGTTCGTGTTTGTCCAGTACAGTGCAGCTCGGTTATGAATGGCGGCACGTGACCAAAAATATTAATCAGTTGACATGGCATTAACATAAATCATCCGCTACAATTTGGGATTACAGCCATTGCTCGCTTCCTCTACGGCTTCTCCCCATTTTCCACTTGCTCTCGTTGAGCAGCCGATTTTAACGGTTTATTGTTTTAATTACAAAGAGTGTCTTCACTGTGTGCTTAGGGCGCATCCAATATATCTAACTATACCAAATTAGATGGCCATAGAAATATGTGTTTGCTGAGAGATTTAACCTTAGTTTCCAAGCGTGAACTCTCAATAAATATAAAAATTCCAATAAATATAAAAATTTTAAAGTTTACCAAGTATTTATATAATATATTACTTAAAAAAAATACATCACTATAAATAAAATCTTTATCCAGACTTTAAAAAAATTAAAAAAAAATATATGATTTTTTTAAATTAAATTAAATGCATTAAATAAAAATTAAATTCCTTTTTTTTTTTAAGTCTGATTTATTTATAAATTACTTGCAGCTCTGATGCAAAATGAACTCCATTTACGTTCAATTAAAAATATATATACATTGAAGTCCTTTCCAGCAGTTTTTGCTAATTAAAGGTTTTCACATCCTGCGACTTGCAGTTCATAAACAAATCGGTTGTTTGTCACGTATGCAACAAAGTCGACACAATGGACACTTCACTTGACTTCGCCTCCAATCGCTGCCCAGCTCCGATTGGAGTGGGTGGGCACATAAGGAAATTGATCCGTATTACTGCACTTTTCAGGGGTAAATGACTTATGGGTGCTTGAGACATTTAAGTCTCCCCACGAAGCATTTTGTGCCCTCTCTGCAGGGGGGCGACGCAGCGCAGCGCAGCTCATCTGTCGTCCGTGTGTCCAGCGTAAAAGGACATTTTTCAAGCAGCTCGATTATTGGAAAATAAATTGAATTTGTTGGCAACACAATGAGCCCAAACACCTTACAAAAATATCTATTCTCTATACTTATATATATACGAATATACATACACATATATATTTATGTGTAAAATCAATTTGTCGAACAGATATTTAATTTACAACTCTGCCCAGCATCCCCCCTGCTCCTGCTGCTGCTCCTTCTACTTTATTCCTGTTCATATTGTATTTCAATCTGTTGATGGTGCCAGCAATTCGAGTCATAAAATCATCTTAGCTGGTCTTATTTTTTATGACACCCGCCTTGAGGGATGATGTGGGTAATAGTCCGGAATAGTGCATGGGGAGTTCTTATAGCGGGTGCGGGGGTTGACTTCCGACTCGAGCTAGGTTCAACACGGCGGGCACCAAATACAATTTCGCATTAGTTACAGTTCGCAACGGGTCACTGTGTACGAATAATTTTATTTATTTATATGTATTTGTTTTATGTTCTTGGCAGGAATTTAGAGAGATGAATATTGTGCGTTCTTATAATAAAATAATGCAACTACATTAACATAAATTACTTAAAGACCATAATATATAATGTGTACAAATCGAAAGTTTTCATATGCATATTTATATATACTAATATTCGAATTCAAGTTTTTCCTGTAAGTGCTTTGTCCAAGTTTTTCTTCTCTTTCCTCTAAGTGCTTCCTCTAAGAATTTCGTCCAAGTTTTTCTTCTGGCGTTTCCTTTAAGAATTTCATTTTAGTTTTTTCCAGTATTTCCTCCAAGTCTTTATTGCTTAGCTGAACGATCACGCTTCACTACGCTTTACTGCACTGCACGATTGACCCCCACTGGGCCTGGACGACTGAAGAAATGCTGCAGCAGCAGCCCTTTATATAGGGCGACTTTCACTCAATGCTCAAGTCGCTCTCAGCTATTGAGCTCGGCGCCAGGTAGAGATCGTTGCAGGAGAGCTTTAAGTGAACAATGGGAGCACTCTCTGCTGCTGCTAGCATTCGAGCTTCGTTTTACTCAAGTATAAATACGAAGTGACTATTGCTGCATACATATAGACAACTTAAATGATCCTCTGTAGTTAGGCAGACAGAGGGAGAGAGCAAGATGGAGAGACAGACTGTGACATAGACAGACAGAGAGGGAGAGAGACATACACACAAGGTTAAATGTTGATATGCTAAATTACCTATGTGTGCTCATTAATATTTATAATTATGAGATGGTATAGACAGCAGTTTCTTCTCTTCTACAGTTCTCTTAAAGAATAGGATTTCTGCAGAGTCTGCCTCAATTTCTGACTGTTCCATTCCATATTTAATTTGAATTGTTTTAGTATCAATAAATAAGCTAGATCACACTCAAATAGGCTAGATCTAGCCTGAAATAGTCTAAACTGTCAACACTGTCACAACAGTCTCGACATTATTAAATATAAACATAATTAATAATAAATATAATTATTAATATTCGCATATTAAATCTCTCCAATCGCCTTCGTTTCAGGTCTGATTGTGAATGGTTTCGTGAACGTGAACATCTCGACCATCGAGCGACGATTTGGCCTGCGTTCGCGCCAGACTGGTCTGGTGGCCAGTGGCTATGATCTGGCGTCGTTCGTGTGTCTGGTGCCCGTGACGTACTACGGCGGGCGGAAGGGCGCGTCGAAGCCGTGCTTCATTGCCATTGGGCTGCTGCTGATGGGACTCGGTTCGTTGATCTTCTCGCTGCCGCACTTTCTGGTCGGCAGCTATCGGGCGACCATAGCCGAGGCGAATCTGTGCGAACGGGATGGCCAGGCGAATCAGACGATGGTGGGCAAAGGTTTGTGGTGGGGGCTGGACAAATAGCACTAAATGCGATGCCTCTTGCAGCGGGGATGCGGCGCGGGCTTGGAGGAGGAGGCAGCTGAGTTGGAGCTGGGCGAGAGTTTGACTTGGACGGTTTGGCTGTTCTTTGCGGCGCAACTTTTGCATGGAGCCGGCGCCTCGCCGCTCTTTACGCTGGGCGTAACCTATCTGGATGAGAATGTATCCACAAAGATGTCATCTGTTTACTTGGGTAAGTTTAACTGTCGCATTGATAAGACATTTCTGGGCAAACTTTGAGACGGCTACTCCTGCTGCTCCTGCTGCTCCTGCTGCTGCTGCGAAGTCTGTCTGCTCAAATAAGTAAAATGCTAGCTCCTTGCGGGCATATCAAAGGATCTATTAGTTCCACACACACACACACTCATACACACACACATGCATATTTATTTTTATTTGCTATATTGCCAAACGATGCCAGCTACAAAGGGAAGTGAATATGCTATTTACTATTTGCACCCCAGGCCCAGGAATACTCCCTCGATCCAATGCTTGCACAACTGCGTCTGCTTTCCGCCTCCTCCCCCTCGCCTATTGACCCAATTTTAAAGCTGAGTCAGGCGCAATTTGGCGGGGCCAGGACCTGATGTCAGCCAAGGGCCCAGGACACGCGCTAAGCTTGAAGACAGCCGGCGAAATTTATTGCCTCTTAGTTAAGTTTATCGTGGCTCCCATCCGACAGCATTCGGAATTATCAAAGCCCGTCCAGCTACGACGAGTCGTCGTCGTCTGSGCCTTTTGAAACAATTGAAATTCGTTTTTCGGGGGATTTTCCCAATACTTTCTTCTTTTKCGCATTTTCATTTATTTATTTGTTGCTCCGCCTGCAGCAGCAGCAGGAGCAGCATTCGAAAAGGATAAACACTTTCAGCCAAGTTATTAAATTCGCAGTTGCCTTTGCCCGTGCCCTGCCCCCTTCCCTTCGCCCCCTGGCCCACATCGTGACACTTGTGTCTTCTCTGCCTTTTGGCCATTGTCATGCAAATTAAGATGCAGCCAAATGATAGGACATGCATCGACTTATTGCCAAAACATTCAGCCAGCCAGACAGCCAGCCCTCCTGTTCATCCTCCCGCCAGCCAGGAGGCAGCCTTCTATGGCGCAACGCCTGACAAAATAATTGATGCCAAACCCAAACAAATAGAGACAAAACTAAGAAAATATTTCATTTACTTTACAAAATTCTAAGCGACCCATACAAATTTCCTTTTTTCAAATTAATTAGTTTAACATTTTTTACTGTATTATTTAAATTAATTAAAAAAAACATTAATTTTATGTATTTGCATTTTATAAATTTTTTTGTTAAATCTTTTTATTTATTATTTATTTTAATATATTTGGTTGCACATATATTTATTTTTATTCCTTTATTTAATTACTTATTAATTTTTTTAAATTAATTAATTTAAGTCTCATATTAAAAATTTTTTTACTGTTATTTGCTCAATAATTATCTAGGCAAAATTGGTATATTTATCAAATTTCAAATATTTTTTATTTATTATTTTATTCAATTACGTATATTTTTTAAATTCAATTTTTTGTTGCACATATATTTATTTTTATTCTTTTATTTAATTACTTATTCATTTTTTATTAATTAATTTCAATAAATATTTAAGTCTCATGTTAAAAGCTCATATATTAATTTTTAAAAATTATTATTTTTACTATTATTTGTTCAAAAATTATTTAGGGAAAATTGGTATATTTATAAAATTTAAAATATTTTATATTTATTATTTGTTCAAGTCTTTGTGCTCCTTAGGCAGGTGCTAATGTCCCCTAAGAGTTTCTTTAGGGCATCCAATTATCGGCTCTATGCTGCAGTAAAGCTCTCAATTCGGAACATATTAATCGTATATTTAATTAAAAACAAAAATAAAATAATGATGCTGTGTCGCCACTTGATGATGAGCTCTTGATATTCGCAGGTATTTACTACACGATGGCCATAATTGGTCCGGCAATTGGCTACGTTCTGGGCGGCCAGTTGCTGCTCATTTATACGGATTTCGTTACCGTGGATGCAGCTGAGTAAGTAGATATATATTGTATGTATATATGGCTTTGATAGTGCTTAAGTAACTGATAAATCCGCGATGATTGTTATTAATCGCGCGGCACACTTGAAGCCTGAAGAGGGCAACGGCAAATGCCAGCGAATGGCTTTAATGGCGGCTCCTGTGGGGCAGTCAGTGTGGTTCAGTGGCTGATTTGTTGCCCGGGCAACGGCAACGGCAGCCGCATCAGTACATGCCACAAACACAAAGCACGCCGTACCGTTAACATCTCCGGAGACTAATAAAACAACATTTCGTGCTGACAACGAGGCAAATAAGGTGCGAATGCGAATGCGAATCCAAGGGCGCGGGGGAGGGGGAATGGGAGCTGGGCGTGGGTGTTGGGTATGAGGCGGTTGTTTGATTTACCAAGCACTGGAGTCGTGGCGTTGCATTGCTCGGATAAGCCGCACGGCTTATTGTCAAGGTGATGCCATAAGTCATACGGAACTTGGAACTTGGATCTGGAAGCTGGGCGCTTGGTGTTTGCTGTTTGCTGTTTGCTGTTTGCTATTTGGGGTTCGGTATTTGGTGTAGGTGAATCTCGTTTGCCACTTTTACGCTCGGCGAGCTACTAAATTATTGGGTAGGTATAAAAAAATGCAGTCAATGTGACTTGGAAGGTCGTGCAGGACTCAGAGATACCTTGTGCATAGTAAGATGCTGCAGCATTCTTGTTTTGGTTTCAATAGTAGAATTTAGAATTTTTAGAGGCATAGTCTACCTTAATATGTATGTGTATTATCAATGTGTATGTATGTGTATATCGATAGATTGTGCTTGTATGCATAATCAGAAGTCTGAAGCGTAGAAGAGCTAGAGTCAGAGTGCAGCCTCTGTCATTAGCACTGACTCGATCTTAGCCATTAGCTCTGCCTTTAGCTCTCGCTCTGCTGCTGCCTTCAGCTCTGGCTTGAGCTCTGTTATTAGCTCTGCCTTCAGCTCTGCCTTCAGCTTTGCCATCAGCTCTGCCTCTAGCTTTACTTTCAGCTCTGCCTTGAGCTCTGCCATCAGCTCTGCCTTCAGCTCTGACATCAGATCTGCCTTCAGGTCTGCCATCAGCTCTGCTTTCAGCTCTGGCTTGTGTTCTGCCATTAGCTCTGCCTTAAGCTCTGCCTCTAGCTCTGCCTTTAGCTTTGCCTCTATCTTTGCTTTCAGTCATTCTCTGCCATTAGATCTGCCTTAAGCTCTGCTTTCAGCTCTGCCATCAGCTCTGCCTCTAGCTCTGCTTTCAGCACTGTCTCTGCTTCTCCCGCTCTGCCTCTATCTCTGCGTTCACTCTGCCTCTGCTCTGCTTTCAGCCTGTCTCTGCTCCTTCCGCTCTGCCACTAGCTCTGCTTTCAGCTCTCGCTTCTGTTCAGCCATTAGCTCTGCCTTCTGCCTCAAGCTCTGTCTCTTTCTTTGCCTTTACATCTGCTTTCTAGATCCAGAGCCTCTGCATCTATCTGTCACATACATCCATCTGCAAGCAATATACCCCATTCTTTTACATTTTCACAAGTTACAGGGTATACAAAAAATGCTTGTTTATGTTTGCGACAACAATTTTTTGGCTTATAAATATAAATGTAAATGTAAATATAAATTATGGACAATTTATGTGAGGAATAATTCTATACATATGCAGTATATAATACTTATATATGGGGTAAGAACATAATGAACTGTGGGTAATAAAATGTTTTGCATTAAAGCGAATGAAACTTGCAAGAATTCTTAAAAAAAAAAAAAAACTACTAATAATAATTTCTTTTTTTATTTATTTTAATAATTTGCATATTCACTTTGTATTTCTATAGCTTGAGCCTGACGAGCGATAGCAAGGTGTGGATCGGTGCCTGGTGGATTGGCTTTGTGTTTGCGGCCGTGGTCTGTGTGCTCATCGCCATACCGATCTTTGGCTATCCGAAGTCTCTGCCTGGCGCTGAGAAGCTGCAGCTGGCCAAGGTCTCGGAGGCGCACACAAAGAAAACGGCCCAGGTCAAGGCGGCTGGGGCGGAGGTGGGGCAAGTGGCGGGGAGGGCGGAGACGGAGCCACGCCGACGCCTTGGCGAGCTGCCACACGCAGTGCTGACGCTGTTCAGGAATCCCACGTTCTTCTTCCTCAACTTGGCGGGCGCCACTGAGGGTCTGGTCATAGCGGGCTTTGCCGCGTTTCTGCCTAAGCAAATCGAGAATCAATTTGGTATTTCGCCCGTGATCTCGGCCCTGGTGATGGGGCTCATCACAGTGCCCGCTGGCGGGGGCGGCACCTTCCTGGGCGGCTACCTGGTGAAGAAGCTGAACCTGGCCTGTGGTGGCATCATCAAGATGTGCTTGTTGGCTACGCTGGTGGCCACCATGTTCACCAGCTGCTTCCTGGTCACCTGCCCCAATGCGGCATTTGCGGGCGTCACTGCGGCATACGACGACAAGCAGATGGGGCTGCCCCTGACCCTGGAGTCGAGCTGCAATGCCAACTGCGGCTGCAGTCGCAGCAATTATGATCCCATCTGTGGGGCCAATGGCGTCATGTACTACAGTCCCTGCTTCGCGGGCTGCGGCCAGGAGGAGCAGCAGGAGACCTTGAAGAGCTACAGCAACTGCAGCTGCATCGACCAAAGAGCCGAGGCAACCAATGTCATGTGCGAGTCCAGCTGCAAGAGTTTGCCCTACTTTGTGGCGCTCTGCTTTGTGCTGATGCTCTTCACCTTCCTGGCCACGATGCCGGCACTCTCCGCCACGCTGAGGTGGGTTGAGTGATTGTTTGATCAGTTGGAAATATATATCATCCATTTCTTTATCTCTCGCAGATGCGTGCAGGATGAGCAGCGTTCGTTTGCCTTGGGTCTGCAATGGATCAAGGTTCGCTTGATGGGCACCATTCCAGCTCCGCTAATCTTTGGCGCACTCATTGACGAATCCTGCGTGCTCTGGCACGAGTCCTGTGATGCTCAAGCAGGCGGCGCTTGTCTGGTCTACGATAATTTCTACATAAGTCGGTTAGTAGGGATATTATATATATACATATAGATTATATAGATTATCATCTTTTCATCTGCCTCTCTTCCAGTTACATGTGGCTCCTCGCTTTGGTGGGCAAACTCTGCTCCGTTTTGTTCTTCTTAGGCGCCTGGTGGTTCTACAAGCCTCCTAGCGAGCCTTCAAATGCCAAAAAGGAAAACCAATCAGAAATTTAGTCATAAGAAAACAGATAATCGCTAGTAAGCTAAGTAATCCACTGCCATTTTCCAACTTCACTTTTTAATAATTCATCGAAAATCAGAAATAATACAAAATTAATATCCTCTCAGCTCTAAAAATTGTACTGGTCTCATTAACATTTATAAGCGCTATTAATGTCTATTTTAATCAACAGCATGAAATAAGTATTACATAAGGAAATCATGTATTTTAATATTAAAAATGTATTATAATAGAGTTTTCATARTATTCAAATTCAAATTCTTTAACATATTCCGCCCTACTTAACATTAACAGCAGTTAGGTCAGCTGTGAAAGCATTTTGCGTCACATGAAGTTGGCTGCTCATGGTTAACATCGCTGTTAAAAGCCTGCCATCTGGTCGTGTTATGCTGGGCACATCGTCCGGCAACACTGGTCGCATTGTTATTTAATTTGTTGTTGGATTTCATACGGTACGGTTGTGTTTCGCGCTGTTTTTACTATTCATAAATATGCCAACTTGACGCGTTTACTGTTTTTTTAAAACAACAAAAAGAACACGCGTTACATTAAATGTATGAATAAATTTTATAAATTATAAAATTCAATAATAATTATAGAAATTGGATTGATTTTGCGTGTGCACTTTCGTGCGTTTGTGTGTGTAGGTGAATGTGCATTTGCTAAAAAAAAAAAAAAAAAACAAACAAAAATCATGTGTAATTAAAAGGTCAATCACCCAATAACAGCAACAAAACAATAACAACTATTAATTATAATGAAAAGCCAATGTAACAATTATAATTAATAATTATATTTAAGCAGCGAGCAAAAGCAAAGAAAGTGGTAAACTGCACGAATAACGGAATCCAGTTTAGTTAAAAATCCCTACGCACACGCACACACATACAGTGATGCAACTGCAAGCCAATCAAAGTATTTACATATGAGCGTGTGTGTGCAGATGTGTGAAACCATTGAGAAAGCAACCATAAAAGAGAGGTGCAAAATAATAACAAATGCAATGAGTGCAAGTGTTTTGGATAATGCACAATAAACACAGCAAAATCAGCTGAAAAGCCAATAGAAACACAAATATGAATATTGAATATGAAATTATATATCAATGCCAGGTGATTTTGTACTTTTAATCCACTTACCACTACAAGCTTGCAATTTGTGAGTGTGTGCTACTACATCACATACACGCACACATATATATATATACTTAGAGACATGTCTCGTCTTTTCTTTCTCTTATTGGCTTCTTCGGTCTTGTCTGTCCCGAAGCCCAGTCGCTGCCCAGTCATATGTTGTCCCCCTTACACCTTCTCGCTCCCCCCTGCACAGCTTCAAGTTTTATACCAAGACTTGTTTTGCCTGTACGTATTTAGGTTTGTATGTTTGTTTGTGCAAGAGCAAATGTGTCGATGTGTGTGTGTGTGTGTATGCTTGCAGGCGCACTTGTTACAGATTCGATTCGAGTTTTCTCGCAGCTCTCCCACAACGCAAAGGTTTTCTTTGTTGTCGCTGGCATTTGCCTGGTTTTATTATATATATTCTTCTTCTTCTTCAAACCGCTGTTGGTCTAGGGTGTCAAATTGGAGCCATTTGCTCATCTGTATTTGATAATCGATTTAGTGCTGCTACTTTAATTTTTCTTTTCAAAACCAGAAAAAAAACTGAAGTGTTAAATTAATGAGGCAAATTAATTTAACACTTCAGTTTTTTTTCTGGTTTTCTTGCAGCTATTGACCACATTTTCTAATTAAATTTCCAAAACACGTTTGGAATGGTTTTAAAAAACTGTTTTCAAATATACGACTCTATTGTTTGTATATAAAATATTATATGTATTATGAAATCATCTGCTTTGGATTTATAGCTGTTGTTAATTGAAAATTTCTATTTGATTTAACAAATCGTATAAATGGTGGAAGCTGTGGAGGCTTTTTTTTAAAATTATATGGAGTTTTTTTTTTTTTAATAAAACAGTTCTTTTTTTTGGCAATTAAAGCAATTTTTTTTTTTTTCTATTTTCTATTTTTAATTTTATTTTTAGATTTTTAGTGTACGTTATTATTGAGTTTTTATAAATATCGAAATTGCTGAATATTTTAAAATGAATATTTCGATCGAAATTGAAAAGAATTCTCAATTGCTTGCCAATTGTTTAAATGTACTAGCATATACTATGAGATATCGTTTGGTTCTATATTCCTTATAGCTTCACCACATTTGTTTTTGCATACAAATTTCTAAGTTTAGTTCACGCCAACTAATTTAGCCTTGGCCGCAAAACAATTTTACATAATTATAAGCTGCTGAAATGCAAAATATTTTATTGACATATGAGCAGTCTAATACATAACCCCACAAATTTTTATATGCATAAAAATACATACCTTCAAGTGCTAAAAATGCCTCATAATAGCGAACAATTCGCATCATTTTTTTTTTTTTTTTTTTTTTTTATGAGAGTCTTGTGAAAAATGTTTTTTTTTTTTTTTTTTTTTTTTTTTAGCTTAGGGACCCAAAAAGAGTTAGTAGATGCTAGCTTTTAGGTATGTTTAATTATAGCTATAAAAATAATATATAATAAAATATTAAACGCGTGTTAATTATTTTATTTGTCCTTTTTCTGGAGGTTCATCATTCTGTAGATATGTATAGTTTTTTGATATATATTTTAAAATGTTTGTCATAAAGTAGTTTGTAAATTTAAATATTCATTAGGAATTAGGCAAATACCTTTTATATATTGCCTAATCCAAAAATAATTCCTTTTTTGTAAAACGGGGTCTCCACTTTCACTATTGACTTAAATGAGAGATAGCCACCACGAATAAGTCCCAAATATTATATTTCTTTTGATTTTTTTGTCACCTTTGGAATTCCATTTTGAGATTGTACAAATTCCTATATGGGTCGAGTTTTTTGTATACCCAAACGGTTTGGGCTTTGCAAAATTCGATTTTCACTTTTTACAAATTAAAAAAAAATAAAATAAAATAAAAGTTCAGGAAACTGAGACTGATTTAGATCAGATGTATTTCTGTATCATTTTAGATTATCTAAATATATACATTTTTTATATGATATAATAAAATCCTTAATTTCTAATCTTATACCTCATTCAGTTCGTATATCTTTTCTATTTCTTATCTCTTATCATATAGCGTTATACACGCTTATCTTGCATAWAGTACATAAAAAAAGACAGATCGTAAAGCCCAACTTAAAATCATATTATATTGCGGAAACTTTTTAAAGTAGTTCAAATCGTTTTATGGCCAGTTAATACTTGTTTTAGATTCGCCTCACCATTTTAGCCACATTCATTTGACTTTTAAGTGGTATGATTCAATACACAGACAAGCATATGAACATATATTTACATATACATATATATTTTTTCCACTTTCGTTCCGCAACGAGTTCTTGAGTTTGGTCATGGCAAAAGTTATAGCGGGTTACTTGTTTGTTTTTCTGTTTTTCTGTTGTTTTTTATTTTCTGCCGTTTTGTTGAGCTAAGCCAGTTGACCAAGTCGTTCGACAAACTGCAATCAGATCAGGCGACAAAGAGAAAACTGGTTTTTTGACACTCAGCAAGTTGGTGCTACGAACAGAGAGACTTGTGCCCTAAGCAGTGGGCTGAATCATCAGTTAACATATGCTGGATTTATAAATGTACACGACTATTAGATAAATTAATGAAATTAATGTCATGCGAAAGCGTGAGCAGAGTTTTTAATATATTTATAAGCGAATTTGTTTACACATATTTTGATTGTTGCATATTTACCAAACGAATTTCATTTCTAGTGCATTCAGCTTAAATAATAATTCTGTTGAATAATTGAAAGAGCTTCAAGAGAAAATGAAATAATTATTTTTTGTTTATGGATAATTTGTATGGCTTAATAAAATGTTTATACATTGCTTCAAGTAAAAGCATTTACAGTTATCTTTATTTGATTGAATTTAACAGAGCTTGTCAGCTGATAAAGTAGGGTAAAACTTTTAAATAAATATATATGTCCATATTCTACTATTCATATTAATAATTGAAAGTGTCTGTTATATTTGAAGGGTTTTTACTCACATCAAGCACATGGACTACATAATACATATAAAGACTACTTATGATTTCATATGCTAAGCTCTATCAAACAGTCTAGCTTAATGTAAACATGCATACATAATACCTACATACACATATACATGTAGATATGTCTGTGTATGTGTGTTTATATTGAATTGCGGCCCAATATTCAAGCAGCTGTTCGCATTTTCATGCGGTTGGCTGCCTTTAAGTTGCCCCTACCTCCCTCTGTCTCGCCCTGACTCTGGCATACACACACAGTCTTGAAAATATGTACTACTCTTTTGCTCTTTTGCTGCTTTGCTTTTGCTGCTCCAGTTCTCCACGTGTGTTTGGCTAAGCTTGCAATTAGCCATTGTGGCGGCAACGGCAATGGCGACGGGAGACCTGTTGGGTTCGCTAGCCAAATAAATAAGCAAAGTAAAAACGAAAAAATCAACAACAACAAAAAATGAAGAAGAAGAAGTACTTTGCACGTAACAGAAATGCAAAAATCAACATAATCAACACATTTCGTAGATCTAACGGTGTTTGTGTATCTCATTGGTACCATTAAGAAAACTCAAACCGGTTCCGTTTCGTTTGGTCGGTTCATTCGCTCATTTGCTCACTCGTTCCGTCGTTCCGTCGCTCGTTCGCTCGACTTGCTCATTGAACCGAGTCTCTCTCACCCAAAGAGCGTGTGTTTGTGCGCGCGAATCGCATTTGGCATGATCTAAACAATTCTTTTGATATATGTATAAAAGAGTAGAATAATATATATAGCCTTTGAAGAAATGCAATAAATTAAAATCAACATTTCTTTTCAGAAAAATAAAAATAAACAAATCTAAATTTGTTGTATGCCAAAATAGCAAACATTTTTTGTTTACAAATTATAAAAAAGAAATTAAAAGAAATAACAAAATTAAAACAAAGAAATTCA